GGCGATTGCGGGGAATATAAGCACATCAAAGCCCCGGAAGTGACCCTTTTCTAGCTCTCCCAAATGAAGGCTAATATATAAACAGTGAGCTTGGCACTTGAAAAATTTATTGAAAAGGACTTTTTTTCCAGTAAAAGAGTAATTACTTTAGACCCCTTTGACTGTAATAAATCGTTAATTGTAATGTAGGCTTCAATTAAATCAAAAGATTCCTACATCGGCCTTCTAAATATCGATCATTTTATTACGACGGCCATGACATTGATATTTTGAAGAATACTAAAGGAAGAAACTTTTTGTTAGACTAACACAATATGATACCCTGTACCCTGCGTGGATGAGATTAAATTTTTTGAAACGTTTTGGTTCCAAATTCAGTTCCTTGTTGAGTAAAATTCAGTCAGTTTTAATAATAATAATAATAATATTGTATTGTGTGTATGAGATATAGAGTATTTACAAACTTTACGTCTTCTTGTGGAAAACCTTGGGGGAGGCCTTTGTCCAGCAGTGGACGTCATTTGGCTGAAACGAACGAACGAACGTCTTCTTGTATGTTGTGTTTAAGTAAATTTCTCATTAATATTACCAATCGTGTTGTGAACGGAATGTGGACTGTGTTAATTGTGCGTTTTAAAAAGTAGAGAGATGCGAGTTCGAACAGAAATATATTCACGAGCTTAAGTTTTCTAAAACAAGTCAAAACGTACAAAAATGACAATGACACAGAGAATTTGGTTTTAACAAATCTATGTTCCGAAAGAGTAGGTATAATAAAGGAAGGAGGATCGTTTGCAACAAACCGGTAAGCCTGCTGCACATAAAACTATTATGAGCCTACCTTGACAATCGCCGCAGGCGCATCCATTAGTCATTGCTACAACCAACGACTAAATTAATTACGATTATAATACCGTTTTTCATGGAATCAACCTTACAGGATGCTAATTTTAACTTATTTTAACGGGGACTCTCATAAAAGTTATTTCGGGTTTCGTGCAAGCTTCATAAGTTATTTGTTTTTTCGTCTGGGTAGACTTTTTACTGTCACACAAAGCAATTTACCGCAAAAAAAAAAATCAGGAAAATCATTTTTCACATTCGGTTTTTATGTCAAAAGATCTAAGAAAAAATCTTCTTATTTAACTACTGCGCTAAAGAGATTGGTTCATCATCATCTTCGTCTTTTCAGGATGCAATACGTCTACTGTTGAACAAAAGCCTCCCCCAATAATTTCCTATATTTGGTCAAAATAACTTGACAAAAGTAAGGCTGGGTTGCGCCATCTTACTTTGACTTAAACAAACGTCAAAAGTCTGTAAAACTCCATACAAAAAACACAAGTTATCGTTATAGTTACGGTCTTTAGGTGGTGCAACTCAACCTTAGTATAACTGTTGTCAAGTTATTTTTACTATGTGATCTAGCGTTGCGTCACCAATCTAACGTAGATTTATCCTCCATTATTACATCCTAAGCCTTTGATCTTGCGAAACGAGCGTACTTTTATTGTCGTCCCAGAAAATATCAAAATATAATATTTATGATGGATTTCTGATGACATTTTTTGTGATATGAGTAACATACCCACGAAACGGATGGAAATATTGTTTTGTTTATTTATTTATTTATTTATTTATTTATTTATTTATTTTTGGGAAACATACAGTTACAATATAATTTAACTTAGGTGCAGTGAGAAAACACATAAACCAATTAAGTTTCCACAGTTAAATATACACATAAAGTTGGGCAAACCATTAAGACTAAATTTTTGTTGTGAAAAATATAAACTTATATAAAAAAAAGTAAACAAAGTGACAAAAGAAAAATTATCAACTACCTAATTAATAAAGGAGCGAACTGCAAACATCACCCGACGCTCGCAATTTAGTTGCCACAAGATAAAGATATTGTTGTTTATTATTTATTAGGTAGGTGTTTATTGCCTACTAATGAACGGTACTATTGTACCAGTTAGTTACAAATACATTGAACAGTTCTTAGGATAGGTATTGTATTAATTTATTAAGACTACTACTTACTGACTGTTAATTGTTACGAATAATCTATTGTTCTGAATAACGACTGGTAGCTTGTGATCATCAAATATTTCATATTTATCGTGAACTGAGTGCTTGTGTTAATCGTTTAACTATGCAGACAATTATACAATGCACATTGCGTAAATGTCACGCTTAGATAGGCCCATATTATGAATGTATATTTTATGAATAAATGATAAAATAGCCAAAGTTATGGCCAAAATTTTTGAAGTCAATTAATCACACGTTTGATTTTATGCTTGAGTTTCAAGCAGACCAGATACTACACAGAGGGTTGGAATGAAAGAATGGCTGTTATAGTTCTTTTATTTCAACCAAATGACGTCAACTGCCTCCGGCCATCTTCAGGCGTAGTACATTTTGGTAGTACACTTCCTTCACCTGAAGTTTAGAACTGTATAAAATCCACTCCTATGTACCTTTAAAGTGATTTTATTTTAATAATTTTCGCGTACAAAAGTGTCTCTTTAGTCCACTATCTCTTGACTTGAAAAAAACAACTTAAAGTAAGTAGGCCTTATTTTTCCGCCCACAATTTGATCGATCGTTATTATTACCTTTTCGGGGCTCTTAAAAAGGTTATTTTACTTCACTAACCTAAAAGAAACCTGTTATGTTTAACCAAAAATAGCCCAGTGAAATTAATCGGTAGATATTATTGGAGTTTTCCAATTATAGCGATGCAAAGAAACCTATTTTTGGCTACACAAAATAATAATGAAATCTTTGAGACAGTCTATTTTCTGTTTTAATAGATTTTATCTCATCTCTTTCACAATCGTTCCAGATTCTATTAGCACGGACAATAGAACCCTTACCTATAGCTAATAGGGATATATCCCATAATCATATTATCAGAAACTGCTCTTTAGCAATGATCTCGAATATTTTCCGGAGTGTTTCTGTCAACGTGAAATTGTGAACTCTGTCAGTTTATAATATAACGCGTTAGATTGTAAACTAACAGTGGGTTAGGTTAGGTTAGATTGTAATTTAACTACGTCAGATTATAATCTGATGGAATTCACAATTTTACGGTGACATTTCCTTGTTTAGGATTTTCCTATGTTAGGCTCCGGAATCTCTTTTAATACCGTATAATACCTATTCTTTGTTGTTTTTTTTCGGAATTTAGATAATATTTTTTCCTAAAATTTTATTCATAGATATAGGGTGGAATTTTAATGTAATGAAGGAATAGGTATCTACCCTTAATACTCTTGATAGAAAATTGTACTCAAAGGAAAAATCCCTTTATTTTTTAAAAGGAAGAGAATTGCTTAAAGACTTTTCCTTCAGATGGCTTTACAAAATTTCACCCTGTATGTGAAAGATTGAACTACATGTTTCAGTCAATACCGTTACATAGGGTAATTCCAGGATACATGCCCCACTGGGATAGGTGCCGCGATTTTAAGTACACTATGTTACAAGCAACTTAGCCTAAAGTTATAGTACGTATAATAGAAAGGGACCTCCCCGTACCACTTTTCGCCTCGCAAACCATCAAATAGTGCATTCGTTTAGCCAGTGAGAGCAAAAATCTTCCGCGGCCAGACCTTAGCGAGCGTCGAAATAATATTGGTAAGTATTTTTTAATGGATAATTTTTTTGTCAGCTGTAAAATGAAGCAGATTTTTATATAATTTGATAGACTATCTTATAAATTATACGGGATAGATATGTTGAATTCGATTTTTAGTGTTATTATATTTTTTATTAATAACGGCACCTATCCTATGCTAAAAGGATAGTTGCCTAATTTTTTTTTGGTATAGATGCCCTTAGGGCCATGTCTCATGCACCTAGGGGCATCTATCCTAACCTGCTCTTTTTGTCACAGGTAGCAAGTAAGAAGAAAAAAAGAATGTAGTACGGCTAACCTTAGGAAAGTAATAAATAGGGTGCCCTTCTGATCGAATTACCTTTTTACCCGACTGCGCTAGAAGGAGTAGTAGTATTATTTTTAATAAAAAATATTAAATTTCATTTTTAGTTCATTTAATAACAAACAATCTTAAATAATAATATTTGGCTTGTTTGATTTCAAAATGCATTTGATTCTTAGAATTCAAAAACTGTATTAACGAGTCATCTATCCCTGCATCAGGCATCTATCCTTTGAAGCAATCATACAGTGAGTCTTCTATCCCCCACATTAGGCGTCTATCCCACTTTTTAGAGGTCAATTAAAATGGTATTTACTCAGAATCGGTATAACTTAAACTAAAATAATTATAGTAATATCATAGACGAAAGACCAAAGTTTACAGATACTAAGGTCAAATTGTTGATAAAAACTTACTGACTGAGTTACAGAGCTGTTTCAAAAAGTGGGGCATCTATCCTGGACTTACCCTAAATCCCAACAAAAAATATCGAAACAGCAGAAAAATATTTGCTTTTCCAAATTGAATTCAAATTGCTGTGGATAAATAGAACAAAAAACATGTTTTATTTATTTATTTTATTTATTTATTAGGTATATACTACAGTTGACAATCGAGTTTTGTTAGTAGATACTTAAGTACACATGGTTAGTAGTTAAGAGCTAGATTGACAACCTAATTGTATACACACAGCATGATGAATAGCGACACAGAGTATAACAATATTATAATTATAAAACAATAAAGTAATTTAATTTTAATGTTACGTACCTACTTAGTTTACATTTATGAATTTAAATACATATTTGGCAACTTTAAGAGTAGGCGCACACCGTTGATTTTTAGTTGGCCGACAGTTGTGCCCGATTAAATTGTATGAAGAATCAGCCAAATCGAATCGGCATAGTGTGCGCACTCCCATACATGCCCATACTGATCAACTGCCCGACTAAACTATCGGCCGACGAAAAATCAACTGTGTGCGCCTACTCTTACTCACTAACTCCTGAAACGGATGTTTGCAATGTGTGTTTTTATTTACAGGGCAGAGCTTACGAGCAATTTGGGCTTCCAGTCGTCATTAAGCTTAGCACCAAAAGCTACCAGCGATGAAAAAGCTTACAATCCATTTGAACACAGGAACCTGGCGCATCCAAATTCGTGAGTTAAAGCTTTACCTTCAAAATTATGATAGGAATTTGTAATATTGTTTTACGCAAAATTTTCCAAGACTTTTTTGGCGTCATTAAAAAATTTTGACTGAAAAACTTTCGTTATTATCTTCGAGCTAAACTGCTTTTTCGTAAAAAAAAGGCTCATTATTTAACTTTGGTAAATTTAGCTGCAGATACAATAATAGTTTATTGATAACGTGAAAAATATTGATAAATAATAGCAATTAATAATGAACGCTATCCTGAACGCAGGAAGATTAAATAAATGCTACTGATAACACCACTCTTGTAGCGGAGTTTTGGGCTGACACTGTAGTGTAGAAGAATATCAATAACAAATACTTAGGCTTTAATTTTAGGGTACTATATCAATTATTTTCTTTCCCTTGTAACTCCCGATAAGATCTAGATAATAAATCTCCTCGTTTAAGTCTAAGTTAGTCCCGGGGAAAGTTCAATAGTCTTTGGCCCCTCGGAGGAGTTCGAGGCTAAATATCGAGTTCCCTCCAAAGCAAAGCGGATGACAAAGGTACAAATAAACTTTCAAGATAACGATGTGCACAAAATGGTGAAGGTTTGAACAAAGCTTTGAAAATGATATACAAAATATATCACGTGAAATAGAATCGAATCGAATCTAATAGAATCTGGCGCAGTCGGATAAATCAACATGTTGAGACATAGAATCCATGATTTCAATAAAATTAAAATTAATTAATGACTTTCATTTATTTTTATATAAGTTTTGCAAAATGCATTAGAAAAAATCTGTCTACTGAAAATCGCACCATTAGTTTCGATATCCTCTGTAGTAATAATAGGAATAGGTATTCATAGGAATTGGTTTCCACATCGCCCGGTTGTAGCGGCCTCCATCCAGCGCCTTCCTCCTACTTTTATGAGGTCGTCGATTCACCTTGTGGGTGGACGTCCCATAGCCATTCAAGTCATACTTACCATTTATTAAATAAATATAAAAATAAAGTACAGAATCAAGCTCTACATAAGACACAGACACAATGGTTAGTTTGATAAATGCTGATGTCTGTGTAATGAGCATCCACAATCACACATACTGTAACAAAAGAGATACGTCTTAACACTTAGGTATTTGTCTCAAAACACGTTTCAATGTAACTGCAAGCACGTTTAGCGATTAGTGTTATCAGTATCAATGTTCTTGTGCACTTAAAACAATTGCAATGAAAACAATTTAGTTTTTCTAAGCATGCACATGAATATACAGGTTTAATCTTTATTTACAGAAAGAGATATTTTTTTTAAACTAACGCAAACTTGGCTGAATTAGCCAAACGGCGCAAATATGAGTACCTTTCTAATGATTACATATTTGCGCCTTTTGGTGTCGAGACCTTCGGGCCCTGGGCACCGAATGCCAAATTACTGTTTCGGACCATTTCCCCTAAATTAATTAAAAATTCGGAAAATTTAAATGCTGGCTCTCCAGCGAGAAAATGCAGCCAGCATCCTTGCCTCTTTGCCTCGCGGACACACTTTTATTTTTGAGTAATAATTTAGTTTTTAAAAAGGTTGAAATTTTTACTCAAAGAAAAGATTTCTTTATTTTTGAAAATGAAATGAAAATGAAAATATTTATTGCCAGAATGAAACAATACAATAACTAAAAGACAGACCTCCACACTAGGCATTGCCTGTCCTGTGGAGGAAAGAATAACGATCAACATTCTACCTGTTGATTAGTACGGCTAAGCTGCAGCGTTATTTAAGGAACCAATAAATCGAAATATGAAAAGTACACAGAAGACGAAAAGGCATCAGGGATGGATGTAGGGTGTGTGCTGTTGTGTGTAAAAAAGAAAGAAAGAGAACTTTTCAAAATTCCACCCTGTATACTCACTACCTATTACCGCGGTTTCGCTCGTGTGAAAAGTTTAAAGAAGAATGTTAGATAGACTTTTTAGAGTACGTCACCCTTAATAATACGCCCGGGACAAAAACTATTTTATGTTTTTCCCTGGGTCCATGGATCCATTCTCACAAACTTTCATATTAACAAAAATAAAAAAGATGAGAATATTTAAGACTAATTTTAAAATAAAGACAAAAACTATGTTTTTCCCTGCGTCCATGAATCCATTCTCACAAACTGATCTCACAAAAACTTTCATATTAATAAACATAAAAAAAAGATAATATTTGAGTCTTATTTTAAATTAAATATAATTTTACTTACATACGTTATAATAATTAAGCGTCATATTCTACGCAGACGTTATTACGCTTGCAAAAATAATTTTACTCGTACCTAAATGTTGTAATATAATGAGGTTGTAATATTTAATTTTAACGTATGTAATTATTTGACATTTTCACAATTAGCACAATGTTGAATGTAATAAATTTAATGTTTAATTTTCATAGCAAGAACCACGAACAAACGAGAATACCACAATGTAACTTATTATAGGACACAAAATGAAAACTAATTTGTATTTTAGACATTTGAAGTATGTATAATAAGAGATTAAACAATAGTATTATTACAGTTCTATATGAAGCGCTTAGTTCAATTATATTAAAAGAACCAAACAATTTTGGTCACGAATGACCGCTTACGAAGCGAACTAATCGTTCGTTCACAACTGTTCGACATTTGTTTCGGAACCTACAAAATTAAATAGTCAATATAAAATAATAAAAATAAGAAATAAAATAAAAACTCAAAGCAAGAAAACATTTTAGTACAAAAATGGCTGACATTACAAATACAAATAAAAGCTACAACACACTGAAACAAATTGCTTCAATCCTTGATTTCGTACTGAATATTACGAAAACGAGAATTTTATTGCTCTACTAAGTTAAATTGCTCCAAATAATATTTATCGACATACCTACTGATTTTTGTCTCAACAATACATATTAATTGTTGAACGTAAAATTTTGTAAGAGCCTTAACTTTTTTGGTCAGCAAAATCTTCCCAATGTGAATTGTAACTCGAGATGTTTCTATACAACTCTGACAACAGTGAAGTTGTATTTCTACTGGCATAAATAAATCAATCAACGTTTAAAGATTTACCCGATTCAAGATAATAATAAAAGTCGCCTTTATTTTTTATTTTACAACTAAGTACCACCGTGGGGAGTGTAGGCCAATTAAAAAAAAACTTGTTAATTAGAAAGGAAAATAGGCGATTTATTCCCTAGCGAAAAATTATGTAAAAAAACTTTCTAAAATTCTAAACTAAAAAAAGTGCAGACCTAGAGTCTTCAGATTATAGTTCATTAATTAAAAATAAAAATAGAAAGGGTCGTGCTCCTCCAAGGAGAGCAAATGACCTGGCGATGATGATGATAATGAAAATGAAAATGAAACTTTCTCATTTTTCACAGGACCATTGGCTCGATCCTGCATCTCCTGAAAGCATGTCTTGGCTCAGGGATCCTGGCCATGCCGGCGGCGTTCAAGAATGCCGGTCTCATCGCGGGAACCATTGGCACCCTCCTCGCTGGTGTTATATGCACACACACTGTCCATATTCTGGTAAGAGATTAAAAAGTTTGTATAGTTAACGTAACACTAACTAAAATACAACGTCTGGTGAAATGTGAGACACATTCAAGTCTTTTCTTATGGGATCAATCTAAATCTAAATCTATATATATAAAAGAAAGTCGTGTTAGTTACTCCACTTATAACTCAAGAACGGCTGAACCGATTTAGCTGAAAATTGTCAGGGAGGTAGTTTAGAGCCAGGAGAAGGACATAGGATACTTTTTATCCCGTTCGAAATTAAAAAAAAGTCTGCTTATTTATTGCCATTAAGGCGGAACAAAGTTCGCCGGGTCAGCTAGTCTAAATTATATAAAAGGAGAAACTGACTGACTGACTGACAGATCAACGCACAGCCTAAACGGCTAAACGTAGGCACTTGAAATTTGGAAGGGACGTAGCTTAGGTACCGTAGAGGTGCACTAAGAAAGGAATTTCCGAAATTCCCACGGGAACGGGAATTAGCGGGAAAAACGGTATTCACGCGTACGAAGTCGCGGGCGGCCGCTAGTATTATATATAACTCAAAGGTGACTGACTGACATAGTGATCTATCAACGCACAGCCCAAACCACTGAACGGATCAGGCTGAAATTTTTGGCATGCAGGTTGATGTTATGACGTAGGCATCCACCAAGAAAGGAATTTTATGAAACTCCACCCCTAAGGGGGTAAAACGGGATCCACGCGTACGAAGTCGAGAGCGGCCGCTAGTGATGGATAAACTGTTAGAGCCAAAGCACACGTACAAATATCCGTGGCAAAGTAGCGGTGCGGCACGCCGCAACGCATCGTGTGCTTTGGCTCTAAAGCTCTGAATGGGTGAGAGAGAAGTAACGACTCATTATTGTCTTTACACTTTACACCTTGGTAATTGGCCTTTGTGGAAATCCTTGGGGGAGGCCTTTGTCCAGCAGTGAACGTCTTTCGGCTGAAACGAACGAACGAATTGTGAAACAGTGTGCCTACCATGAGTTTACGTTATGTGTGCTCGCTAGCGACTGCGTAAAAAATGACATTTGAATGTATGACATATTGTGCAGCGCCTCTAGCGGCTACTTTCAAGAAATAAAATCTTCATAGAATTTTTTTACGTATTCGCTAGCGAGCTCACCTAACGTAAACTCATGGTAGGCACACTGTAAAACTGCGTAATGAAATCGTATATTGTGCTCATTAAAAAAGTAAACAGAACGTGTATGCTCATCAAAAAATATTGTGTTTATAAATATTGTCACGTGTAATAGTAAATATTTTTGTGTTTTTTCCTTCATTTGTAAACACTCGCGAATAACATTCCCATTTCCTTACAATTAAATAATAATATTTTAAGTATGTGACATAATAGCTTATTTTATATTGAATCTATCATTGCTGGAATCAATAGAAAATGTTGTTGATCGCGAAAACCATACAGTTACAAAACGCAAAAGACCTTACAATTATCAATTTCCTATTTAATATAATGCCACCATTGTGTTTGTAATCTCAGCAACTTAGTTAATGTTCTTACTTAACACGCTTATAAAACTTCGTATTTTGTTATTAAGTAGAATTTTACGTCGCAGAAAATCTAATATTACTCGTAAGTAATTGAATTTTCACTAATCTGTGAATAATTTACTTATCTCATAGCAAACCTTAAAAATTAAGTTAAACTTTCAAGTGCAAATTTTCGTAAGATTCAAGTAAAATACATTTCTAAATCAGTTGAACATTTCTAAAACGTAACAAATAACACAAAGACGGAATGAATTAGGGATTGAGTAGCTATTTTGTAGAATTTTTTAAGGAAATTAACATACTGACAGTAGCTTCACAGTTCATTTATGAAAACCTTTTATATGTTCGCAAAAATATAGAGCAATTCACGAAAAAGAGCGATTTGCATAACTTTAATACAAGAAACAAAAATAAACTTGCCGTTCCAAATTTCAGACTGCATAAGATTGGGAATTCATTTATGGGGAAATGTATTACATTATTTAATAAATTACCACAAACTGTTGTAGAACTACCCATTCATAAATTCATAGCACATATTAAAAGTACCTTAATGAAAAAGGGCTACTATAAAGTCGATGATTATTTAAAAAATAAAAATGTTTGGGATGCGTAACTGCCTAGCTCGCATAAATATTTATAACTATGTATTTTGAAAACCTGTAAACCTTTGAAAAAGAGGCTGACAATAGTTTCTGAGTTTCTTGCGCTGCTTCTTCTCAGCACTGGCCCATTTATTGTCCTGAAGCAGTGGTAGGGTTAATACTGGGACGTGTAAAAGTGCTTTTTAAAGCCTACTTACAGAAATAAATAAGTTTTACTGAGTTTTTACTATAATAGTAATATATAAAGTATTTATACATAGTTAAGGGGAAGTACTAAATGTACCTACCTACCTAGTTCGTCACCGCAAGCACTTTAAGTGCAAATTAGTTCATATCTTAAGTACTGCTTAATTAAGAACTAATTTAAATGAGGGTGTTGCACTTAGTTGAAACTAAGCCAAATAGGTTAAAAATAGACAACTAAGACTAGGCGCCGACCACTCATTTTTAGTTGGCCGATAGTTGGGCCCGATTTTAATCTGTATGAAGAATCGGCCAAATCAAATCGGTGTAGCGCACTTCCATACATGCCCATACTGATCAACTGCCCGATTAAACTATCGGCCGACGAAAAATCGATGGTCTGCTCTTAGGCTTAGGCCCTTTTAACATGTCCCGGTTGCCGGCTAACCGGCGCCGGGTACCCGGTGGTGAAGTGTATGGGCATGCCGGATTAATTACGCCGGTACATGTGAAAGCTACGTACCATGCCCATACACTTCACCACCGGGTAACCGGTGCCGGTTAGCCGGAAACCGGGACATGTGAAAAGGGTCTAAGGTTGCACGAGACGGATATCAAATCAAATCAAATAAATTTATTTGCTTATCATTGACAATTAATTTTATGACGTGACAGAGCATACAAATCTGATGCACATTTGAAGTCTATGACGTTTGATATCACAAAAACACTCCCCCCGTGCCGCTCCCATACCTCAGGTTCTGGCTCAGTTAAACGCTAAACTCACACTTATAGGGCCTCATTTATAAAATTTACAGCCATAATCTCCACGCTTGGCAGGCGGGTTGGAGATCGCAGTTTAAAAGATTGATGTTTTTCAGAGAGCACTGCTCCCTATCCGTCCCCCGGACACGGCCTGAGCCGAGGTCCGAGCCTACCGTGGCGCCCTCAGGCCGCGTCCGTAGTCCCCTCGATCGGGCCCACTAGAGTGAGCCCGCCGTAGGCTGGACTTTGGTCCAACACCGCGGTGGGCAACCCTCTAGTTGGGTTCGCCACTGATCGGGCGCCTTATGCGCTCGATACGGCCCGATCGCGAACGTCGGTCTGCGACCGAAGCCCACACTCGGCCTCGTCGGCACGCGCACCGACGATCGCCAAACGGCTAGAGTACCTTCTGTACACGCCACTCTGCCCGGTGAAGCTGGAAAAGCTCCTCAAGCTACCAGCGCGCGTCCCTTAAAAAAATAAAAAATAAAGAGAGCACTGCTGCCCGTTCTCTGTTTGATGTGTAGTCCCTAAGTCGCCTCTTACGACACCCGTAGGACGAGTAGGGGTTGGTGACAAATGTATTCTACTCTGCCGTCACCACACGTCTTCATTAATAAGGGAGATAATTATTGACTGTTTAAAGAGACTTAGATTTTTTCCCTCAGGTTAAAACCTCGCAACAAGTATGCGTGGATGCCAAGAAGCCGTCAATGAGTTTCGCAGACACTTGCGGGGCAGCCTTCACTTATGGGCCCAAACGGGTCCAAGGATGGGGAAATGCTGTCAAGTGAGTTTTAACTCTCAATTCGTGAGGTAGAGTCCAAAATTGTATCAACAGATGCATTATGGATAGGGTACAGTCACGAGCAATGAATTGGGATGTGGCACAAACCCTAATGACTTGACTTGAATAATTTTTTTGTAATACCTTGTGCTTGACCGTTGAGTGACAAGAATATTGATTTTTTTTTTCAGAAATATAGTCGATTGTTCAATGACACTGGCATACGTCGGGGTACTGTGTGTCTACGTCGTATTCATCGGATCTTCTTTCAAGGAGGTAATTTAATTTTATACTAATGTAAAAAAGTTTTTCTTCGCAAAAGAGAACATTGACCTGGGTAAAGATTCCAACCAGAAATTATTTTCCTTTAATATCGTTTGTTAGTTCGTTCGTTTCAGCCGAAACACATCCTCTGCAGGACAAATGCCTCCCCCAAGGATTTCCACAAAGACCGGTCCTGCGTCACCCGCATCCAGGCACCTCCCGCGACCTTCACCAGATCGTCGGTTCACCTAGTGGGAGGCCTGCCCACACTGCGTCTTCCGGCTTGTGGTCGCCACTCGAGAACTTTTCTGCTTTTAGTATACCAGTTTTATATTGTTTCAGGTCCTAGACGTATTCTACCCAGAACTCGGCCTGTCCATCCAAGTGTACTGTGCTCTGACCCTCATCCCACTAGTCCTGATCTGCCAGATTCGGAACCTCAAGCATCTGGTGCCGTTCTCGGCTCTAGCCAACTTCTTGATCCTGGTGGTCTTCACGATCACATTGTACTATGTGTTTACTGATCTACCACCGGTCACGGATAGAGAAATGGTGGCCAGCATTACACAGTGGCCTTTGTTCTTGAGGTGAGTTCATAAGTTATTAGATTTTGGTGCTCAAATACAATATGCAAAATATAGAGTTGGTATTAATCTAAATCGCTAAAAAAATTAAATAAACAACTTGAAAAAATCGAACTGCCTAAGGTGGGACTCGAACCCACGACCTTCCGCTTGCCGGGCGACTGCTCTTCCTTTTGTTTAATTATTATTTTGAGCTGTTTATTTAAAATTTAGTTTGAGAAGCGACTCCTTCGTGATCCTTTTGTTTATTTATTTATTTGAGTTGTTTATTTAAAATTTAGTTTGAGAAGCGACTCTATTCACTAAGAAATTTTAACCTCTAAAAAGTCTCCATTTGCACTGTTTTATATTTTTTAATGTAAAAGCTAATTGGCCAGGCCAATTTGTTGAACTCATTTAAAAAGTTTTGCATTTGAACACTTTAATCATCATATTTCCATTATATTCCTCAAATACACAATTTCAACAATATTAAATGGTCGTGTAGTAAGAGTATGGTAAGCACAAGGATGTTACATGTAAAATGAAACATATTGTCACGATCAATACTTTTCATCATCATCATCATGTCAGCCATAGGATGTCCACTGCTGAACATAGGCCTCCCCTAATGCTTTCCACATTGATCGATTGGTAGCGGCCTGCATCCAGCGCTTCCCTGCTACCTTCACGATGTCGTCGGTCCACCTTGTAGGTGGACGTCCCACGCTGCGCCTTCCGGTACGCGGCCTCCATTCCAGAACCTTGCTGCCCCATCGGCCGTCAGTTCTGCGCACTATGTGCCCTGCCCATTGCCACTTCAGCTTGCTAATCCGTCGGGCTATGTCAGCGACTTTAGTTCGTTTACGGATTTCCTCATTTCTGATTCGATCTCGCAAAGAAACACCAAGCATACTTTTAGATCAGCATTATGCTTCAACCATACCAATGCGTGCAGATCGCCATGCGCGATCACGGCACATAGGTAAATGACAGGTCGCGTGAACTGTCAAGGGTGTCTCGACCTGTCATTGGCCTTTGATCGCGCCGGTGATTGCGATGCGCACGCGTTTGTGTGGTTGAAGCTTTAGTAAGTAAGTGTATCTATAATAATATTTGAAAATCAAATATAAAGCTAGCAATAAAAGCGTGTTAAAGCACTAAAACTAACTTAAAAGCTAGATACGGTAGCTGCTTGCATCGTAAAGTTTTTATGCGTTTATAATACATGGCTCTCCACGTTTTACGAGAGGAAAAGCAACAAAAAGCTTTTAAACGAAAGTGTCCGGCGTTTAGTGGACTTGAACATGAAAATATTTTATCACTTGTAATTAATTTGTGAGCTTAATAATAACTTGAGAACGTATAAGTTAGGGTAAGATGTGAATACTATTTATTTTGATGTACTATCAAGTATAAGGATGACTGATAGTATTTTTACGAGTATGTGAAATAACAGCAAGACAAGGAAATGTTAACCTAGAATAATGTTAATGCATGGAATACATTTCGCGAATATAACACACTTACTGTGTGGCTTACGAAATTGAAATAAAATAATTCAGCGTTTTTGTATACTTCGTGTCCTAGAGAGCATGATGAGTTGAGATGAGAAAACAAAAAACAAAGTGCATGTTAGAAGCTCCTGGTATAATAAACTGTTACAGATTTTTGCGACTAAGGGTGGATTCGACCAAACAAGAGTAATCTTCAGTTTTGACATATTTCCCATACTTAAACAGTCACATACTGAACAGCCAGTTATACCAGGAGTTATTCTTGGATAAAAGTTTGGTCGAATCGGGCCAAAGGAATAAATATCAAACAACTTCAATTACGATCAGAGAGGGTGCTTTTGCAGTGAAAACTAATAAATTAATGACCAGTTCTTTTATGGAAAATAACATGTGACAATTTTGATTCCGAAGTCATTTCACTCTAGCGTTTTTTACTCGTAGATACTTTATCCTTCTTTATTGTAAAATGGAATCTGTCACGAGACTCACGAGTTTTAGCTAACATTTCCATTTCGAAACTAAGTACTTTGTCTACCTTTCTTAACTCTTCATATTTTATTTCTCATCCAGCACCGTGGTCTTCGCGATGGAAGGCATCGGCGTGGTCATGCCAGTTGAGAACGAGATGGCTAACCCTCGCCGGTTCCTAGGCTGTCCTGGAGTACTCAACGTGGCCATGGTCATCGTCATCGTGCTCTATGGAGTAGTCGGCTTCTTTGGCTATGTCCAGTACGGAGACGCGGTTAAAGGCAGCATCACTTTGAACCTGCCGGAGGATGCTATGTAAGTATTTAGACAATTTGGTTGTTGTTTCTGGTCGCTGATTTATCATCGTGAGTCCAATGACATACCAAAAAAGTTAAATGCGGTTGGTACCTAAAATAATTTCTAGAACGCTCGCATCCTGACCGAATATCATAACCAAAAAAGTTTTTCGGTTGTTTGTTTTTTAATCAAAATGATACATGTATTTTTAGTTATGCGTGGGCATTACGCAGAGGAACTGAGGAACCTATTTTAGGAAAATACAATATTTTAACATTTCTATCTACTTCAGCACTAAATAGAATCGTTTTTCATTATCTTCTTAGAATTGTCTTCTCAAAACCAATTTCACAGAAAACTCTTTCGTTTCTTTTTTCACTTTTACCTACCTAGATGCAATGCTCTTGTTTTCCTCCTTTTTAAATAGTAATATTTTGTGCTATAGCCCGACCAGCCCCCCTAGACAAAACGCACTTTTTGATCGAATCGAATATCGAATCCGTCAAAACTCCATACAAAAAAGGGGCTTTTCGACCACTTTTCGACTGGTTTGCGATTATAATTTACACTTTGTCTAGACCCACTGCCCCCCTAGACAAAACGCACTTTTTGATCGAATCGAATATCGAATCCGTCAAAACTCCATACAAAAAAGGGGCTTTTCGACCACTTTTCGACTGGTTTGCGATTATAATTTACACTTTGTCTAGACCCACAGGAACACAAAAACCCTCGCCATGTTGCGGAAAACTAATGGTACTAATTTCTTTTAATGGCAACAGTAACTGAAAACTTCATTGACATGTCACCTTGCATGTCAGTCTATTGCTGTCAAAGTGTAAACAAACTTTATTTTAAATGTGCGCAATTGATTTTGTGAATTAAATTGCTAAAATCTTTTTTTAGTCGTGAAAGAAAAGTGGTTCACAATGTGTTAAAATATTTGTCGAAGAGAAATGCTAAGGGTTCGGACAATATTTTCATTGAATAATGTTTCCGACAAAGGTTGTCAAATTGACTGACATCTTTATCATATAGTACAGTCCACTATGAAAATTAGCTGTAGTTTGTTTCAACTACCTATTTTAAAATTTTTTGTCACTTACTAAGTGTTGAATTTTATGGAAATGGGAAAGAAGTATCGAGTTTGAAGCGTTCATGAGCAGACATTGCAGTTGAATATTCAAGTTCTTAATTTGATTATTGATGAATAATAAAATAAATCCTACTAGCTCGATTGATGGTTTCATTTAATTTATTTAAACCAGGTTACCTATAATAATATTTTTTTGATAATTTATGAAAATATCTTATTAGCCCGTAATCCTGAATCCTGATACATAAAGTTAGCCTATTAATTTAACACAGGTACGACTGTACTCAGTGTTGCACTATCAAATGCAATTGACGCGCCTCCATGCCAAGGTTTTTATGTTCCTGGTCAGGTTATACCCATGTTTTTGTACAGATAGGTCAAAAGGTTATTATGGTCATGACAGAAATGTTTCGCAATAATGGAGAAAAATTAAAAATAATCAAAAACTAAGCATTTTTACCTGCATCTAAAATTATTCCAATACGCAGTTGACGTGGTTTTATTGAAACAATTAATAAGGCAACAAATGACATTGAAAATATTGGACTGATCTTGAATTTATTTCGCAAAATGAATGCTTTTGATTAAAGTGAAATACCATGTTTTGTATATCAAACGACGCACGCCGATTTTATATTAATCGAAAGGGAATGACACAAATACACGCCTGTTATGGTTCGGCCAAACCAACACGATCGCGATGCGTGATGGCGCGGCGATGGGGATCAATGTGTTTAAGTCTGATCGCCATCGCCATCGTGCACGCCGGCTGTACGCGTTGATTTGGCCGAACCTTTACACTTTTACGCGCCAAGCGTGAAAAATATATGATTTGAAAATACTTAGAACCGACATGAAGAAAAATGGGACAAGCCTTACAAGTAATAAAACAGGTTTTACATGAACAGAGATGAAAAACATCGCTTTTGTGAAAAAAGATTTTTTCTAAGGAACTTCGATAAGTACTTAATGAAGCCAGTTTGAAATAATAGGTTGTGTCTTTTGGCAAATGAAGCTAGTCAAAAATAAACGGTTATTGAACCTGAGATGATTCCATTGAACCTTTATGTTATTGTTTGAGTACATCATAGGTACTCAAACATCGTTCCTTGATTTATAATTTCTGCTTGAAAGTCAAAATGTTAATGTGCGTGCTCTGGATCAATCTGTAAGCTCACTTGCAAAAGTAATTAAATAAATTCCAATGACCAATCAAGATTAGTATTCAGTGTTCCAGAGGCATTAGTGTCGTATTAATTTGAATAGGTAATTGGTTCAAAAATGTTTAATTATTATACCAACGTCGGGAAATCGGGATTTCGAAATATGGATCAATCTATTTGATTAAACTTGAAATATTCGTTGATTTCAGTACGGATCACAAGTATTCAGACAGACGAATACAGATTCCGTTTCAATGCCCTGCTAATGGACCTTCAGCAAATATTTTACTGTCTACATATTTCACAGAGGTTCTGTAACTTATGATACTTTCCTGGAAAGCTATTGTAGAAATGTTTTTGTTCATTTGCTTTTCTATATTGGAAAATTCCTTATAAGGCCGAAATCGGAATAAGTTACGCAACTACCTTTTGAAAATCCTAATATGGGACAACCTAGCTAGACAGATGCGACATCAAAATAGGTATTTATGTAGAAGGCGCTGGACGAAGGCCGCTACCAACCGGGTAACATGGAAAGCATTGGAGGAGGCCTATGTTCAGCAGTGGACGTCCTGTAGCTTAGATGATGATGATGATGATTTATGTAGAAGGCCTTAGATAAAAAGTTAGTTCAAGCGTTTAACTTAGTCAGTGCCTGAGGTATACGAGCGGTACGGGAAGGGTGACTATGACGTGACAGAGCAATTCAGAACATACAAATATGACGCATAATTTGAAGTATCACTGACGTTTCATCATCATCATCTCAGCCATAGGACGTCCACTGCTGAACATAGGCCTCCCCCAATGATTTCCATGTTACCCGGTTGGTAGCGGCCTCGGGACTATTCCCACCTCTCGTTCCCACCACTGCAACTCCTGTGTAACCAGGATCTACAGCTTGACTGCCACAAAAACCCAACCAATGAAGGTCAAGTTTGTCCCGGGGGAAAGTTAAACTGTCATTGGACCCGCAACGAAATTAATCAGAAGAACATAGGAGGAGTTCGAAGTTGTTGGTAGCGGCCTGTGTCCAGCGCTTTCCTGCTACCTTTATGATGTCGTCGGTCCACCTTTTGGGTGGAGGTCCCACGCTGCGTTTTCCGGTACGCGGCCTCCATTCCAGAACCTTGCTGCCCCATAGGCCGTCAGTTCTGCGTTCTATGTGCCCTGCCTATGCCACTTCAGCTTGCTAATCCGTCGGGCTGACGTTTGATGTCTCAAAAACATCCTCCCGTGCCGCTCCCACTGCTCGCACTGACTGAATTAATTAAGCACCACACCTAAAACATTTTTTTAACTTTGTTTTAGCGTCGCTCAAAGTGCGAAGCTTCTGATGGGTATCGTGATATACCTGTCATACGCTCTACAGTTCTACGTACCCATGGAAATGGTTACCAGGCTGCTGGGAACCAGAGGGGAGAACTACCAGAATGTCATCCAGATTAGCATCAGGACTGGGATGGTCGCTTTTTCTGGTAAGTTTTATATGTGCACTGGCGGCCGCCCGCGACTTCGTACGCGCGGATCCCGTTTTACCCCCTTCATCTATTTTACGCGGTTTAGATTTTTTCATACAAATTCCCGCTAACTCCCTTTCCCGTGGGAATTTTGCAATATCATGTTATAACTAAGCTTTAAGTTTACTAAGGTACCTGTATGCCAAATTTCAAGCGTCTAACTTAAGCGGTTTAGATTTTTCATACAAAAGGATTTTCCCGCTATTTCCCGTTCCCGTGGGAATTTCGGGAATTCCTTTCTTAGTGCACCTCTACGGTACCTAGTACCCCTTCCAAATTTCAAGTGCCTACGTTTAGCCGTTTAGGCTGTGCGTTGGTATGTCAGTCAGTTTCTCCTTTTATATATTTAGATTTGACACTAAACTGGCGTATCTATTATAAGTGAAGCGAGTAAACGATTGAGATTTTTTACAATAAAAATATCACGGCACACTCTTGTCGCAAAAATTGTCTTTAAATTAGCTGTATTGGACTAAAGGCTGATTTACATGCGATATAGGTACGATGCAATTTAATCACTTAAAATATTAATTTAAAATTCAGTAACCTACTTAATAACTTAACACGTGTAAATCAGCCTTAACAGCCAGTGAACGCTAGATCTTAAACTGTCAAAATCATAGAAACCTCTTGCCAGACAAGCATTTTAGGGTACCTGCCAAAGCCACGATGACCCAAACTTCCTGATGTCCAACGTTCTTACCTATGTTGGGAACATGTGCTGACAAACTTTCAGCTTTTATAAATTAACGAAGGTCTGGTTACTGGGAGTAAACTCTTGCTCTACATATATGTTAAAGTATTTCTGAAGTTTATATTAGTGACGATGTTGGTAAATACACAGTGGAATTAAGCAAATAGCCCAAAGCCGCTTGCTGTGTCTGAGCTAGTTAATTTTGTTTTGTTCATTTGTACCGTTTTCGTTGTACATGTTATGTCAGAAAGCTTGAGCAAATTTGAATGTAGCTGAGGCACTTTACATCGTTTACTTTCAAACATCTTTTGTGTGGCATACTTTTTAGGGCAAAAAACGTAATAAATGATACGTCGCTAAAGGATTTTTATTTCTATAATCTTCAAAGGAACTACGAAAAATGTGATTATAATTTGCTCTTATATTGTGTAGATAGGCTATATCAGTGAAATTAAGTATTTGAGCCTCTTTGTTTGTGAAATATCTCATCTTTTTAGGTACATAGCAGCTGATCAGTGCCTCTAGAATGGCAATGTACTATAATATTATTATCTCGTAGATTTCGATATAATGAACTACCCACTCCTTTACATATTGAAGCAATCAGGATATTATATCGATACAGTTCAACGACACTGTGTAGTGAACTTCAATATTAAATCACTGTTCTTGGAGAACTCAAAATATGAAATCTCTCATCTAAATGTAGGTAGAGCGGGCTGAAATATTTTTAAACTAATTGGTTTTAAATTCTTATCTAAAGATACATATAAAACCGTAATGTATCCCTCAGATAGTAGAATAGTTAAACTTATGCAAGTATGTTAGTTTATACGGGCCTAGGGTAACTTTAAACATTAGTGAAAGTTATACACTTTAACGCGTGATGTGTGAGGGATAAAGTGAGATCCATCCGAAGGCGAGCTTTGTTCTGGAAAGTTAAACATTAAAATGTTGAGCAAAACCTCAAGCAATGGAGTTGGAGAGTACGGTGTGACGTTTGCTGTCAAACTGACAGCTGTAAGCATGTGTGACGTTTAATAATAGTATTGTACCTAAGTAGCCCACCTACGCAGTGTAGCTGTCAATAATAACTACAATGGGGGCGTTTCACCGAAACAGGAATTGTTAGAAATTGTAGGCGATCGCTATGGCACCCGGCGAAAACTTTAGCATGTTTCGGCGAAGACACGTTTACTTACTTCAATATTGACGTTTTCCCAAATTTTTTTTTAGCATTTTAGCAGCACTGACAGCTAAACGAACGCCAATTTTCTTATTAGCGCTAACAATTCTATTTTCGGCCATTATTCACGTCGTCTATAAGTCACGCTGGCTGTCTTTAGATGAAAATTTTAATCAAGATTAAAGATTTTAATTAAAATTTTGAAGCGTGCAGATCATCGAAAGTACAGTTCGTCTCCAACAATACACAGCCGTTCTGTGTAGGAGAGACATTGTTTTAAGATAATTTTCAGGGTTTTTTATGACTCTCCATGGTAATGAACATGATAGATGTCGTTATTATGTAATGTGATGTAGAAGTAGTTTAAGATCAGTAGTTTTATAAATGTAGAGTTAAGTAAATTAGCATTAGTAGTTATTAGTATTGTAGTTTTCGAATGCATGTTTATCAGATCTTAAACTATTACATTTTTGTCCTTAGTTGCCATAGGAGCTGCATTCCCGAGCTTAGAGCTGGTCATCAGCTTCGTTGGAGCGGTGTTCTTCTCGACACTCGGTCTTCTAATACCAGCGGTCGTGGACACGGTCTACAACTGGGACAGGGATCTGGGCTTCATGAAGTACGTTCTCTGGAAGAACATCCTCATCAGCATCATCTCCCTTGTATGTTTAGTCTCCGGGGCTTATACCTCCATCCAGGGAATGTTCGAGGAGTTCGGTGGCGGCCATCATGAGACCTTCGATAATGCTACTCTGACATGATGTTCCTAGTCCAACAATTTGAGAGTTGTTCCATTTGGATCCCTACTGATTTCCTGAGGGATTAGTTGTATTTTTATATTTACTATTCCCGTAGATCAGAAGTAGAGTAGATTAAGTAGTTATGTGTAAAATGTTAAAATGAATATTGTTCTCTAGCTAGGCTGTACTTGCCATTAAAAAAAGCGATCAAACTGTAGTAGTAAAGTATTAAGTGGATCATATTATTATAGGTGTACTAGCTTTTCGCCCGCGTGGAATTTTTCGGTTTTTTATATAACCTGTGACACTCAGCAATAATGTGGCCTTCTATTGGTGAAAGAATTTTTAAAATCGGTTCAGTAGATCCCGAGATTATCCCTTACAATTTAACAAATATACAAACACACAAACTTTACCTCTTTATAATATTAGTATAGATTAAAAAATTATAATAATTCGCGGAATCGATTTGGGGGTCAGACCGAAACAACTAATTTGAGGTTTGCGAGTTTTAATTAATGTACAGTTGTTAGTCTAACGGCCGAATACTGAAACACTACTCAAATCTGTCACTCAGCTGACGGGCTCCTAAAAGACAATGCCGGAAATTGGCGTCTTTTTTTCTTCGCGCGGCCATCGACCAAACCTTGTTTTTTGATTACAAAATAGTGTAATAAACCAAACTTAGTATGACATGTATACCTCTAAACTCAGTCTGAACTGAGTTACGAGCATCAGAAGTTTGATGATTTTCATACTAGATTTGCTGTTTGGGCGCAAGTTTTGTAAGAAATTGCAACAAAATAATGACATTGTATGTGTAAACAAACAATACCATCCATTAAAGGCTCCAGACATCAGTATGCAGCAGAATCAGCGCAATAAAAAAATAGCGCAATATTTTGTTGCAATTTCTTACAAAACTTGCGCGCAAAAAGCAAATCTAGTATGAAAATGTGGGAATTTTGCAATATCCTCTTGTAACTAAGCTTTAAGTTTACTAAGGTACCTGCATGCCAAATTTCAAGCGTCTAACTTAAGCGGTTTAGATTTTTCATACAAAAGGATTTTCCCGCTAATTCCCGTGCCCGTTGGAATTTCGGGTATTCCTTTCTTAATGCACCTCTACGGTACCTAAGCTACGTCCCTTCCAAACTTCAAGTGCTAAATTTGTAAACTATGAAGGGATATGTTTAATCATTAGTATAACATTAATAGCAGGGTTACCATCTGAAATCGGCTATTATTGGCTATTTATGGCTAATAACTGCTTTTAATCCGTTACTAGCCAATTGCTATTAATCGGATTATTAGCACTTACCCATCTCTACCTGTGGCTTATTTATTTCCTGTCCCCCATTATATTTCCGGATCCGGTCGTATAATCTCGAAGGTTGCGATAACAGAATAATAGTGTTATAATAATATCATAATTATATATTTTCTTTTAATTAGCCTCTCAAATGGAAGTTGTCAATAATAAATCAGCGTAAGTTACTTGTTAACTTTTATCGTAAATTGATTTATTAGTTTGACATTTAAAAAATTAACTTGTTTCATGCAGTAACTAGTACGATATAATCAAAACATGTAATTGTGGTAAAGGTCAATGGTAAAGTTAATTTATAATTAATTATTAAGAAATTAACATGGTACACGTTGTTCTAGGACAACGGCGGACAATTATTTTCTACTTTGAGTACACAACAGATTTACTCATTAAAGAAGATAAGATTACTTACTTTAACAATATTCTTAAATAAATAATCCTAATATTACATCATCTTATTTTCCAAATACTAGTGTAATTAAAAAAAATTGTTTGTAATCTCTGATAAAAAAAAACCGACACCACATCCTCCCTATCGCTAATAAAAATGACGTAAATTTTTCCTAATGTTTACATAAGAATTATCAGAAACTATCTTGTCTTATTCTCTAACAAAACTAATGTAAATTAAAACAGTTTTAATTTTTTTAAGTCTCCAGACATTTTTTAAGACAGCATATTGTTTTCAATTTATCGATAAAATCATCGACACCGCCCCCTCCCTAGCGCTAATAAAAGCGACGTTAATGAACTTGTAGTTTGTAAATAGAAGATGCGCCCGCGCCGCCCCTCCCCTCCCCTGTGCATTACCTCACCCCTCGCAGCTGTGCGGTAACTTAATCACTTCAATTAGGATATTTTAGTGGATAAGGATCTTTGAAAATGCATTAACTTTTTAACGATAAATATTATCGGTCGTGACGTTTGTCGGTCTAGCTATGTAGATGTGATAACTCGTAATATGCAAACAATATTTTGCGGGTAAAACAAAATATGTGAGTAAGAGGTATTTTATGTACTTGTTGTAGTTAAAATTTAGGAGAAGTAACAAGTTAACACCGGATTTAACTAAGTATTTGAAAGTTTTTGCATCAAAATCTCATTTTACCAAAAATAATTAAAATACCAAGTGAATCAAGTCACATAATATCTACAAGACCGCTATGTTGTCTTGGTGTGGTTTTTAACATTATTTTGCAAAAATAAAACGAGACAGAGGGGTGACGACGCATACGCAGCGTGGGGTGCTCTCCTGCAAGGGAGCGACAATATGCACAAGATACGAGGTAAAAAGATCCCGATGGGTCATACAAAACTAGGCGATTTACATGGCGATACAAATACTAGGAAAAACTACGAGAAAATTATAGCAAGTTTCGGATTTTGTTTTAATATAGTTAACCTAATCTAAGTTTAGTTGGGGTCTTTTAAGCACATTTCAGCTCTTTCAAGGTTTCTTTCTAGATAACAGAGTAGTATCTGCTAGAGTTCGTTCCAGTCAAATGACGTCCACTACTGGACAAAGACCTCCACAACGACCGGTCCTATGATTCTGCTAGAGTGGGTAAGGTCAATCTCGTCTAGGTGGTTAGATATTGTAAATTTTCTCGTACATTGTCTACAAACAGAATGTGTGTCCAATAAAGCCAATAGCAAATGCTAGATGCCACCGTTCATTCATAACCAACCTCGACCAAGCTTACTATGTGACACTCCGCACGTAGTCCAGTCCCAAACAACGATAAGAGCGAATAATTTCTTTTATTGCCTTATTGTTTGACTATCAGTTGATAACATATTGGCTGATAAGCTTGAATTAATTAGCGATGACACTACGAGTACAATGAGCAGCTAGCTCTAGCTAGACTTCTGTTTTTGTAGCTAAATCGGACTCATAGTACGAGAGGGGACCGTTAGATTCCCTACCCTACGTCACTTGATACTAAGATTAGCTCCATGGCACACGTTCAGAAAAGTGGATTCTGTGGGTATGGTAAACAATCAGTGCATTTCTATAGTAAAGCATTGTGACGGCGTTTATAGGAGACCACAGCCTTAAATACAGTGGTAATAATCTTAATAATGGTAATATTTAGCTTGATATGCATCCCTCAGTTAAATTAACAGTTATTTGGGCTTAATAAGCATTCTGTATTAACGTGATGCTGACCTAAGATCAGTCTCAGCACCAGAGTTGTCCCGAAGTAGTGATACTAGGGCAAGCTATTTGGGACGTGTTATAAGTGCCCGGGAAAGGGCCTAAGTAGGTACTAAATAAAAGATTTGTATTTGTAGAAGAAAGATAAACTACTAACCAGAATTACTGTCTCAAATATTTAGTGTTCGTGAAAGTTAAGAATTTAATCTTAATCTTAGCAGGGTTTTACCTACACCAGCTCGAAAATAATCATCAGAGATAAGAAACACGCCGATAAATAGATTTAATATGCATATAAACACCCATGTGTTTTCAGTAGAGTTTAGTATAATATAGGCAGGCCCAGCGGCCCACCAAATTACTGTGGACATCGTAATAGATAAATATTCAGACATCAGACTTTTCCAACCCCTCTGACCAGTGTAAGAAGTGTTGGCCAAATCTTCTCTTATCCTCTAATAAATTAATGACTTGATGATGAATACTTGTTTCAGGCGCATATACGTCTAAAGAGTATAGATAGATAGGTAAACGTTTGTGCTCATCACACTAATATTTGCCTCTAGCAATACCCAAACCCGTTAACATATTTAGCGTGATAGTCCAACAAAAGATCCACCATTGCACCACTCCAAGTACTTAGTAAAAGGTTCCTTTGAAACTTTCAATGATATTATGTTACTTATACTCATAATGCAATATATTCAAGAGCCTCTGTTTAAACAAGCAAACAGTCATACCATTCATTTCTAAGACCAATAAAAGTTAAGCACCAAACAATAACATTAACAACTTGAAACAATGGGCATTAACCATCCTAAATTAACCCTTCATTCGACGGAATTTTTTTTTAGTTAAATTTATAAAACAGTTACTGATTTCGTTTCTTAGCTTGTCTAGGACCCTAGAAAAAATACCCAAAAAAATCTAACTATTTCAGTTTCCTGAAAAACCTATGTCCAGTATACTGGACGTTGCCAAGTTCATAAGAAAGTGACGCTCTCCAACCATGTCCAGTATACTTCCCGTTGTCGAAGAGACAGAAAAAAGAAACAAGTGGTTCCGTAATAAAATATTAATTATTATCATCATAATTTCAGCTTTATGACGTCCACTAATGAACATTGTCCTCCCTCAATGATTATCAGGTTGGCAAGTGGGCTAACAACCGGCCAATCTGATAGTCACTCTGTATTCTGCGCCTTCCTGCTACCTTTATGGGTTCATCTGTCCACCTTGTGAGTGGACCTCCCACGCAGCGGTTGTCGGCACGTTGCCTCCATACTAGAACCTTGCTGTAGCCATCAGTCATCAGTTCTGCGTGATGTGCGCCCTGCCCATTGCCACTTCAGCATGCTAATCCATAAGGCTATATCAATGATTTTAGTTCTTTTACGGATCTTCTCATTAGATGTCGCACAGAAACACCAAGCACAGCCCTCTCCATGTCATGCTGTGATATAGGGAGGGCTTATTGTGAGAAGTAACCTTTCAGTAGGTACCATTATGTGATTACTGGGAACACACTTGGACCTGTTGCTGATTTCTTCTCCTGCACTTGGACCGCCATCAAGGTGGCATTTTGTGCAAGCACTTCAGCACCAAGGGTCAATACGGAAGCTCTCTGGAAAGACTACAGCACTGCTCAAGCTTCAATCAAATCGAAAGCCTCCTCATAGTCCACGTACGCCAAGCGTTATGGCAAGTAATACTCTTTGGTCTTCTGTATAACCNATATTTAAATGGCGTTTCAGTATTCGGCCGTAAGCTACACAAATGTATTTATTTTTAGATTTTTAATAATACTATTATTATTTAAGTTTGTTACCAGTTATTGACTAAGCTAGGTACTAATTTTAATTGACAATTAATTTGAGGTTACTAACTTTAAATCAGTGATAACTAATACTTAGTTAATAGTATTATAAGGATTTGTACAAAATAGAGGCTGTGATTCCATTTCTAAGTACAAAAATAAAAATAAATCAATCATATTTTTATCACTTGTACAGTTTCATAAAGACATTTACAGTAAAAACAGAAATACTTATTTTCAGACCTTATTATTTGTTTATCAAAATAATATAAATGTATCTCTTTATTTTCTATTAAAAAAAGGTTTAAGAGAAAACTGTGTAAATTGGTTTAACCACCTTATTAAGGTCTTATATTTTTAAACCTTATCAATATATTTTTGGGTTTTGTAAAAAAGTAGATTAATAAAACTTATGTTTCATAACTGTAGTTTATCTTTATTTCCATCTCTATTAAATTACATCCCTTCCAGTATGTTTGCAAGAAAAGTTAGTCTATTTTCTAGATCAAATATTATTCCTATACCTAAATTCACAAAAACCCAGGGTAACCAGTTTTCGGGTAAAATCATAGTAAAGTTGTCTTTACGAATTTAACACCCTGACTGAAATTTCAGGCAAGTACATAACTTAGTTCTTTCAAAAGGTAGCTACCTATATCTAGATAATACGTGTAGTAGTATTATGATGCATGCAGAAAATTAGATGCCTATGTAGAAAAGTTGAATGTGGATGACAATTTAATTTTGTTTAATTTCCTGTCCACCTTCACATGAAACTGATAACCACTCCTTTCAATCAATCCTCATTCCTCAGCTCATTTCCTGGCTATAATATCTCAGGAAGATGCTAGGACCAATCCGCGTCAACATTGTGGGATCCCGCTTCACAAAAGGATGTTGTGAATGGTGTCATTTGTAAAGACAATGGCTTGACAGCTTGCGGAAGGAGCCCTTTATAGCCCCATGTCATGGAGTTAATGGAGTTTATTGTCCATTTGTGTTCGTGACCATTATTTAGGGCTTTTCAAGACAAGAGTGAAAGGCACTTAGAACACAGAAATGCACATCCGACTGTAAACTTTTGGTGCAAAATCACACCTATTGAAGCCACCTACATAATCGCCACGATCAAGTTATTTAAGGTCGTCGTACATTTCGACCCGACAATGTCGACCCGGAAAGGTATCGTAACCGTATCAACTCGAGGCGGTCTGTATCCTTTGTATGAAACTCCATATTGCAACGCATACTTATCCTCACCGTAACGTAAACGCCTCGCCTCGCGTTTGACAGCGCGCGAAAGGCGATCCCTTTCCGAGTTGATAAGTCTGCTATGAGCTTTAGCCTATGCGCAAACCTGTGATGTTTTTAGTCGGCCGATAGTTGGTCCCGATTATAATTTGTATGAAGAATCAATCGGTGTAATGTGCGCACTTCCATACATGCCCATACCTATTGATCAACTGCCCGACTACACTATCGGCCGATTAAAAGTCGATGGTCTGCGCATAGGCTAAGTCTTCATGGCCATAAGCAAAGAAAGGATTTGGCTTACACTACATTACCCTCCCTATGCTGGCTAGACAAGTCGAGCAGGAAGATGCCACACAAAATATCACAATGTTAAATTCAATGCCATCGTCTGATTTGTATGAATCTAGTAAATTCATATTCACTCAACGTACTTATCCTAGACAAAACCTACGCTGAACATCAGGTAACACATTTCCCTATAGATTAGCACGAAGTGTTCTATGTCTAGCATACGACGATAATTCGAGTCATCAACAAATTGCAATTTAACACTCATTGCATCCTTGCGTAAAAACCAATTAATTGAATGGACCGTATTAATTCCAAAGCCAAACAAACCGATATTCGCAGTGTTTGCTGAAGAATTTTAATGGAAAGTTTGAAATTTTTTCGGTATTAGATTTCGGATTACGAGTGAACCCCGCAACAAAGATTTGCGTTAAGCTTTTGTTAAGCTTCTGTGGTTCTGGAAATGGATTTCGGAGTATTCAAATCGAATCTTGAGTTCGGAAACAATTATGAACTGTGCTCGTGTAACTGTTCAATCAAATCTTGAAACTGTTTTCGTTATAATAGAAAAAAATAATAGTTTTTTTTGGTACATTTTGACCAACCTAAATTTTTAGGGAAATATTTCGTAGAGAGATTTTCTTAACTCTAACTTTATGCTCTTCTATTTTAATTTTTAAGTTTTTTTTTTGCATTAATGACAATATTCTATTAAATGTGTGCTTTGAAATCGATGAATAGTCAATTTAGTTGATTTTCGATTGACGTAATTACCTTAAATTATAGGTAATTCTATAGGGGAATGGACTGACAGCTCACACAATAGAAATTACCTACTCTTTTATTTGATGAATACCTCGTTATATGCCTATAATCACATTTTCCTGTTAGATTATATCTAAAATTTTGCAAGAGTAGACACAAGTAAACAACGTCATTACGGCATTATCTACTTCATAACAACATAATGTTGAACATAATGTCAACAGGAAATGTAAATGAAAGACAAACATAGTTAAAATGAATTTCATATTTCTTTGAAATTTCTAAACGTTTCAGAAGCTATTTTGCTTATATTTTATTACAATGTTTTCATATTAATAACCATAATAGGAACTTTTGCCTAATCAGCGAACTGAAACAAATAATATTTCAACGAACATAATTTTGAAATTCAGTTTGAGTCAAAACATTTTACCGTTCAGTTTCATCTTCAGGTGATTGCACGGTGCGTTTTAAATTATATACAGCAAACTTGTCGGGGCAGCCCGAAGAAATACGTGCCGACACTTCACCATCAGGGAAAAACCTGCTAGAGAACGTCACCTCTCCCTTGCCGCAGAACAATTCGATAGAACTGGCATCAACGTAGATCGTCCACTTCAATATACTTCCGCTAGGCTTCCACTCGGTGCGGCGGACTCCATCATCACCACCACGGTCCAATGTAACTGTGCCATTACTAGCATCATAAGAAATCGTGACAGTAGACCCTTCGCCTTCAATGACCACTTCTAAATCCTCTGAACTATCCCCCAAAATGTCTATCTCGCCAGCTTTATCTTCAAATGTGACTACATCACCAACACGTCCTTTACCGCGGCGTACACGATTCGCTCTCACCGCTTTAACCTCCGAAACCGGCTCCTGAATAAGCTTATTATCTCTTGTCAAATGCAATTCACGTACGATCGTCATTTGACCGGTAAATCCATCTTGTGCCTGTGGGTAATCTCGCTCCCACATGTCAAACCAAGCCACGAGTAACCGACGGCCCCTGTTATCTTTGATAGTTTGGGTAGCATAAAAGTCATGGCCATGATCAAGTTCTTGGAATGAGGTTATAGGATGGAATTCATTTGTCTCATAATTGAAATTACCGACAATATAGCCCGTCTGATAAAGATTTCTGTACTTGTCGCCTTGCGGCTCGATACCTTGAGGAGAAAACAGCAAAACATATTTACCATTCAATTTAAAGAAATCGGGACACTCATACATAAATCCAAGTGAACCGTCTGATTCATGAAGGACAGAAATTTCTTCCCAATTTATTTTGTCATCTGAGGAGTACAGAAGGGCACGACCAAGAGTATCATTTTCAAAAGAATTTCCCAAAACCATGTAGTATTTAGAGCCATGCTTCCATACTTTGGGATCACGGATGTTTGGCTGGCGATCATCTGCCATAATTATTGGGTTATTTTCATACTTGGTAACGTGGATACCATCGGTGCTTTCAGCTAGGGCTTGTCGCTGCTCGTGATTTGGTTGCTCGTTGGGATGATTCACGTTTCCAGTGTAGAAGAGGTACATTATATCGTCTTCGATAAGTGCGCTGCCGGAGAAAACGCCAGAGCTGTCATATGTGTTGTTTGGATACATTGCTATTGGCAAATGTTCCCAGTGGAATAGATCTTCGCTGACTGCGTGACCCCAGTGGGCAATGCCGGGTTCAAGGCTTGACAATGGGTTGTATTGGTAGAACAAATGGTATTCGCCATTGAAGACGCTGAATCCATTGGGATCGTTCATCCACCCTTGAGGTGGGGCGAGATGGTATCGCGGGTAGTATCGGTCGTTCACGGCTGCTTTGATGCCGATCAAAAGGCAGCATATAATAGAAAACTGCGGCAAATACCCCATTGTACTTGGATTCAGAGTTCAGACGTCGCGGTTGATGCACAATCGCTTCGAGATTGACGGCTTCCGCAGGCGTTGTCTATTTAAATAGTTGAGGCGTCGTGTCGCGCTAACCGACTTATAATAGTACTATTGAACGTAGTGTTTCCTTCAAGTCTTAAAGGTCTTTTGAGGGTCAAACATTATCTCAAGCTGCGTGGAATTAATTATTTGGTTTGCCTGTTGTTACAGATACGTGAACAATGTGTTGCAAATAAATCAATAATGTAATAAGTAGGTACTGCTTATAGCCATTGTTAATCATACGAATTGAAAATTGCATGCATACAAGAACTCTAAGGCTGGGTTGTACCATCTTACTTTAACTTTAACAAACATCAAAAATATGTCAAACTCCATACAAAAAACACCGGCTATCGTTATAGTTACGGTCAAAGTTAGGTGGTGCAACTCAGCCTAACAATGTAATTATATTGTTATAAAGTTCTTGTTATTGTTCCTGAAATTCGACATACTCATAAATCAAAAATCTTAAATAGGTATCACTTAAGATTCGGCCAAACCAGCCCGCAAAATTTGGGCCAGGAAACGATGACGTAGAAATGTATTAATTATTCTAATCTTGCATTAACAACTAATTTACTGTTAAAATGGAAATGATCTTAGTTGTCAATTTAAATGATTGCAATTCTATTAAGGTGTTTTTAAGCTTTAGGAGACAATGATGCACGTCTCTAATTTTAATTAACATGCATGCATTACTCTGAAATTTAAATGCAATTAGATGTTACTGATAATTTTCTTCTTTAATTCTAGTTCTATTTTTATACGAATTCTAGTTCTAATTATAATTTTTAACAATTTTTAATAAAATCCTGCTAGATTTTAAGTATTATTTACTAGACTGGATATACCCAAAAAAAAATATTACCCTCTTTAATAATGACAGTTCCGGTAATTTGCAACGTTTAGGTCTGTGACTGATTCAGGCACAAGCGATAGCACAGCAAGGCAAAGTTTAAGCACAATTTAATATTAGTAGTACCAGTTATACATCTTGTCATCCTATATTATCTACTAGCGGCCGCCCGCGACTTCGTACGCGTGGATCCCGTTTTACCCCCTTCATCTATCTTACGCGGTTTAGATTTTTTCATACAAATGTTTTTTCCTGCTAACTCCCGTTCCCGTGGGAATTTTGCATATCCTGTTGTAACTAAGCTTTAAGTTTAGTAAGATACCTGCATGCCAAATTTCAAGCGTCTAACTTAAGCGGTTTCAATTTTTTCATACAAATGTTTTTTCCCGCTAACTCCCGTTCCCGTGGGAATTTTGCAATCTCCGGTTGTAACTAAGCTTTAAGTTTACTAAGATACCTGCATGCCAAATTTCAAGCGTCTAACTTAAGCGGTTTAGATTTTTTCATACAAACGTTATTTCCCACTTACTCCCGTTCCCGTGGGAATTTTCCAATATCCTGTTGTAACTAAGCTTTAAGTTTACTAAGATACCTGCATGCCAAATTTCAAGTGTCTAACTTAAGCGGTTTAGATTTTTTCATACAAATATTTTTTCCCGCTTACTCCCGTTCCTGTGGGAATTTTACAATATCCTGCTGTAACTAAGCTTTAAGTTCACTAAGATACCTGCATGTCAAATTTCAAGCGTCTAACATAAGCGGTTTAGATTTTTCACATAAAAGGATTTTCCCGCTAATTCCCGTTCCCGTGGGAATTCCTAAGTATACTATAACCTTCCCAGGAGTATGAAGAATAATTTTACCAAGTTTCGTTAAAATCCGTCGAGTAGTTTTTGTTTCTATAAGGAACATACAGACAGACAGACAGACAAAAAATTTACTGATTGCATTTTTGGCATCAGTATCGACACAAAATATAACAGAAGGTAAACTCATGGATGTACCTCGCTTTGCATACCTCTCTCGCTCGCACGCTCGGCCGTCGCGCTAGGGTTGTCTTGTCATGTGTTGCGTTTAATTCGTTATGATAGAAAAATGTTACTCTTAATACTATGCAAGAAAGACAATAACAGATATCCACGTATACTTATTTATATTTAGTACGTTATTATAGTAATAGTTTGCAAACAAATACACGAGAAGGAAGTAGTATTTAGTTGAGTGGTTGACACTATTATCCAACTAAAGTTTGGATGTCTGGATGTTTGTTGCTCTTTCACGCAAAAACTACTGAATGGATTTTGATGTAACTTTACAGTATTATTGTTTATAACCCTGAATAACATATAGGCTATAATTTATGACGATCTGTGACAAACTAAATTTCACGCGGGTGAAGCCGCGGGCAAAAGCTAGTTATCCAATAATTCCTAAAACCTCTCTAAAACAATTCGATATTCCTAATAATTGAGTTGACTTTCAATTTCAATTGAAATTCAAATAAATAACTTACTTACCTCCCCGAATCAACTGGTAATTTAAAAAATTAAAATTCGGTATTTAATGATGAGTTTAAGCAACCAAAATTACGAACAATTATAATACGACTTTTTCTGTTCACTCATTTTCGTCAATTTCGCAAAACAAAATAATATCACAGGCGGTTGACCGGCGCGTGACTCAAGCGAACCACAGCGAACGTGTGGCGAACGTCTGTCGCGCCACGTCGCGCTCGCATTCGTCCAAGACAGTCTTGCTAGAGCGGTGTCTATGTGTGCGTGGCTCGAGCGCGTTTAGTATGGAGTTTGTCTTCTGTTATATTTTGTGGTATCGATCACTAATAACCCCCTGATAGTTATTTTGAAAATATATTTCATGTACAGAATTGACCTCTCTACAGATGTATTATAAGTAATAGATAATAGATTATGTATATTGTTTAGTACGCTGTCAGAAAGTGAATTTCCATGATGGAAAGCGGGCATTTGGAACATAAAGGGACTTGCTAATTGCCGTTGCGATCAATTTTCAACTTCCTGTCGCTAAACTAACGTGAGTAGGAGAGGATTTTACGAAGCTTTTTCACGCTATTAGAGCGCTTTCACAATAGGACGTTAGTAGCGCGGCAGCGGCGTTTTTTATAATGTAAAGGCAGGCATCCGCTGTCACATAGTATTAAATTATCGGCAGCGCGTCTGTCGCGCGTTTGTCGCGCTGCTAACTTGCCTAAAAAGCGCTCATAAGGAGCTTACACTTTGTGACTTTTTTTCAGCGATTCAAACACATACTTTACTGCTGCGCGACTGCATCGAGATTTTATCGCTGCTTTTAGCACGCGAGTATGTAAAGGCTAGATGTTTTGTGACTGTATCGATGTTGCATCGCGACTGTATTGCGTTTTTATCGCTGTAGAAAGGCGCGATGTGAAATATTTTTTTGCGGATTGTGAGCTTGACTTTCGGTCTACGTCCCTTAGTATTATTATATTTATTTCTTTATTTGATTACCAACAAGGTTAAATTGTAGCGTTCACAAGAATAACTTACAAAAACGACACTTGTTTAATGCGAGAGTGAATAGGCACTTACAGGGCAGATATGTACCATCCTAGACTGCATCCCACTTAACATCAGGTGCGATTGTGGTCAAATTGTTATGTTATGCATAAAAAAAACTAAAAAAAAACTTAATTAAATATGTCGCATCATTAATAGTTGCACAATATTTTAAAATCTACTTTCACTAATCAGTCTACCTACCTATCGACTGTAGGTACCGAATTTTATTTTCTTGACTGAAACAGCAAGTAATTTAGCTATGTAAATAAACTCTACATCATACCAGACATACCTAGTGTTTTACTGCTTGGTGTACCGTGAAATTATTCTGTTTGGTAAATACCCGAACGATAATGGGAGAGTCTTACCTATCCGCTAGTGTCTTCAAGACCATGCTTCTTCTACTTTGTCTGGCCCATTCCCATTTTATTATAGTCTCCTAATACAGGTTTTCTAAACTTAAAAGGAGACTCCCAATCCCTGTTCGTTCGTTCGTTTCAGCCACTGCTGGACAAAGGCCTCCCCCAAGGTTTTCCATAATGAACGGTCCTGCGCTGCCCGCATCCAGGCTCTTCCCGCAACCTTTACCAGATCGTCCATCGTCCCATCGTCGTCGTACCAATCCCTGTAAATGTGTCTTATAAGAGAATAAAGAAACTTTGTTTTTTTTTATTTGGGGTCGGCCCTCCGTGTCATCCGTCTCCAGCCGGCTTCATCCTGAGTCACCTCGCTGTATACTTGGGCCTCTTTAGAGTCCTAATTTACTGCGGACATCCAAGTGATTCGGGGTCTTCCTCGTTCGCGGGGCTTAGTTTGGATGTCTAGAATTTCAATTTTGAATTTTAATTTGAATTTTAAGAATTTTAGCACTTTTCTGGTCATAGGTATAGTCGGGTGGTCGCCTCATGACGTATCCGTACCACCGCAGACGGCTCTCCTCCAGTTTAGCTGGGATAGGTCTCACTTTGAAGGTGCCTCTTATGTGTTTCTTATATGGTCCAGCATAGTTACACCACCTGCCCATCTGAGCATCTTCGTCTCTGTGCAGTGTGATTGGTTTTCGTACTGCTACCGTACGTATCGTCTTTAAGGCCGTGCGTGCAAAATAATCATTGATCAATTTGTATCACGAATCGTATTTAGGTACTCTATCAATTGCAGCGATCAACTTAAAACTTCAGTATGTTTTATGTCAGTTGTAATAAGGGTAATTTTGCAACAAATACCTACATGGGCTCTTGACTGTAACTAATACTTACTTAATTTTAACTGCTAGCAGCTGCAGCGCGCTTGCGGAATGAATTCATGCGGAAAAATCGTTTTATCAGTATTACAAGGCAAATTTTTGCAAGGGCGCTGGAACGCATTACGAAAATCTATGCATAGAACCTAGAACCTTTTTATTTTATAGAATACACATATATGGGGTTGGCCGTTCCGCTACCGTCACTTGGACGTAAAATAAAAAATATATTTACCTACTGTTCATTGTCACATTCTGTGACACAATTACTTAGGCTGGGTTGCACCATCTTACTTTAACTTTGACACACGTCAAAAATCTGTCAAACTCCATACAAAAAACACCGGTTA